TTCTCCATTGCTGCATCATTTTCCTCGGTCATCATCTTACTTTAGGCAGTAAGCAGGGTATTTTACAAGCACCAGCTATTTAGATAACTTGCAAAACAAATACTTTGGACTGTACAGTCCCCTGTTTGTGAGAAATCATGACCTGGCTCTTCAGGGTACACTAACTGAAAACAGACTATCCCACTATTAGCTTTTGTCATGCAGAACTATTTAATGTAATCAGAAACATTAAAACTGAGTGAGAGACAGAAACATAGCTAGAGACTAAATGAAACTGAGGCAGAATGCTTGTCTCTGTCCACAGCAACTCACCTGTGGAAAGCAGAACATTCTCTAGATAGTTCTATGTTTGGGTCCTAAGAATCATTTTGGGAATGACTTTCCTTGCAAAATTTCTTTCTCCATTATCTGTTTTCTTTCCTTCTGAGAAGAAAGTTAGGCTAACACTCTCAGGCGTAACAGCAGAGACCCCTACTCTACAATTATCATTTCTATCATTCACTAAACATTCTTCAAACCTAAAAGGCAAGGAGGGTGTTCAATTTTGTGTTTGCTTTTTGCTTTATTTAACATTTGGGCTATGCCTATTTGTCTTCGAATCAGCAAGTTACAGCCACTTTTCTGCTGGCACTCAGGAGCACAACACATTTTCCATGAGGCAGGGGATGGCTTACCTCACTATTTATTCTAGAGGATAAGGTCTGTGTGTAGACGTGGCACTTGGGGACATGGTTCAGTGGTGGACTTGGAAATGCTGGGTTAATGGTTGGACTTGATGATCTTTAAGGTCTTTTCAAGTTTAAACAATTCCATGAAGTAGCAGGTCCATTCATACACACTCCACCTGAACCTGGAAGTGTCAAGTGGCTGGAGGCATCTGCAGTATACAGGGGATGTGCCCAGTGCTTAGGGGAGACGTATTTTACCACTGCTACTCAGGAGTTACTCATCCCAAAAGTGTCCCCATAGCCAAGGTACTCAGCTTTCCTGAAGTTCCAAGGGTCTTTGGTTTGTGGCTATGCCTGAATTGTCCCTCCTTTCCTTCTGGAAAGAAGCACCATCTGTCTACTGAAGAGAAATAGTATAGCAATGACATGTAACACTGCTTTTACATCCTGAAACATCCACCAAAATCCTGAAGCTGCAGATGCAGAGAAGCCCCAATATCCAACAGGAAGCTCTCTACCTCTCTGTTCTATTCTTATTTAATCCCAGCTCTGAGCCCTTCCTACCATCTTCCACAAAAAATAAAGGAGATCATCAAATACATTGAAGTATTATTTTGACACCACTTAGCAGGAATTTGTGCCTAAAAAGAAATGAGGGAGAAGGAAAGAAAGAACAAGGAGCTGTAGGTTGGGTTTTTTTTTCATGGAAGGCAAATCCCAGGAGTTCACATTTATCCTCACAGGTTAACCAGCTATTTTGGTCTCCTCCTCTCCCTAAAAACAGTGAAGAGTGCAAACACCAGCAGGGAACACTTGGGCTGATGTCAGTGTTAAAGAAGCAGAGGTTAAACTTGCCCTAAAGCCCCAAAAGGCAAAGTGAACAGAAGGGGGCAGGCTGGCAGAGAGGAGATAAAAATAGAAGAGTGACTAGACTTCACTTGACAGCTATTTCTGGATCAACTATGGAAAGAGATCTGAGAAGCTTTTCTATTTGTAAGGGAGACAGAGACCAAAAACATAGCTGCCTTCCAGAAGGCCACAGCACTGCACAGCAGTTTTGTTTATGCTTCTACTTTTCTAAATCCCCATGTTCTCACTATTTGGAAACAGTGCTGTTCAGCCAAAATGTCATTATATGTCTAAGTGAGAAACCAGATGAGATTTTCTGGAGCAGGACAGCAATGCATGTGGCATTTCAATTTAACAGAAACAAAGCTGACAGCACATTGTATACTGGGCAGCAAATCACAATGCCAAGCAGAGTAAACTAAGGCACACAGTATTATAGGAAAATAACCAAAACCCTGCAGTATCTCCAAAAGGATGCCTTGTGTTTTCCCACTCCAAAATGATTAGTGAAATTCCAACCAGTTCCAATTATGCATATGGACTAACAAAAACAACAACAGGGACCTCCCAATTACAGCATGGAGTGCTTGACTGTCGTATGGCTCTGGGGATGAATATTTTTGCCTGTTCAAGCCCTTTCCTCTTGAGTACCTCTGCTAAAATTCCTTCCATTGAGTAATTTCTATCCAGACCCTGGCTGTGCTGGCTCTGTTCCCATTTAAAAGAAAACCCGCAGGCAGAAAGCAGTGCCATCTGCCCAGTCAGGAGCTGCTTTAATGGGTAAGTTTGATGTGAAGGAGAACAGCCTATTACACTTTATCTTCAGCAGCAGGAGTGATGTTCTTCCTTTCCCAGGGGCAGGTTACAGCAAGCACTCTCATGCCTGAAGTATTTGTCCACAAATACACATAAATCTCAATGGATATGTGCAAGCAACCTCCAGAAAAAAATCCATCCAGCATCTCCTTTTTTTTCATGTTTAACTTGCAATTCAGTCTTTTCATTTTTCTTTACCTGTCATACCAGTTGGGTTTGTTCTGTGACAGCTTCATCAGCCTCCACTTTCTATTCCTGTAAGTGAATGATAACCCCGCCATCATACCTGAGAAGAATGGGCAGTGGCAAGGCCCTGTTGTCCCTACACAGAGAATTCTGCTCCGAAGTTGTTTCTGAATATTTTTTCCCAAGCTTCTTGTAACTTTTACGTAACTGCTTTGACTGGATGATTTCTTCTGAAGTGTCATCTGGAGCAGGTTTGGGACTTGTGTGGCCCAGTTCAGGTTTCACAAGAAACAAAGGAAAAAACTTCCTCTGAATATTTTCATCCTTGCAAATATCTTTAGGGCTGGGAAAAGATCTTCCTATTCTTGCCAATTAACCAAGCAGAGTTTTTATCCCTCCTTGTTGAGTAATCTTCTCACTAGACCATCCTTGCAGAGAGCAGTGGATTCTCTCTGGGCTGCTGGAAGTTTTACTTAATTGCATGTTTAACTTTTTATTCAGCACTTAAACCCATAATGATGAGAAACACACACATGTAAGCAGCAAAGTATTATCTGCCATTCAAACTCCCAAGAGAACTCATAAACATCTTAATATTGCTGCCATACTTCTGTCCCTTTCAGAAGAAAAGTGCACACATTCCACAGCTGGATGTGAAACAGGATGGCAAACACATTTACAGGGTAAGTTCAGTGATACATCAGCTATTGCTGATCTGTAATGACTGAGGAAGGGAAACTTTGGTCCTCAAGACATACTATAAGTTCCAAAAAAAATCAGCCAACACAATCAGTACTAAACACAAACAGGTATTAGAGACTCCACCATAGGTTCCTCCAACCCATCAAGCAGAAGACATTCTATCAGGGCACAGCAACTTCCGTTCTCTTCTCCCTCTCTCCAACTTTGAAGGCTAAAATAAAAAAGTATTTTCTGGATACTAATATACATCAGAATATATTTCCTACTTCATTCCAGAGCTACAAAATTTGCTCTAGAACATACTTGTTGCTACTGAATTGCTCTCTGGAAAGGCAACTTCTGTTTTAAAATGCTTCCAGCCCTTATGACTGCAAACCCTTTCAAGTATGAATGATCTCTAACCAGCAACAGTCACTGAACTCTTCAGAAACAGCAGATCAGCTTCAGCATTAACTATTATCCTTCATCACAGTATGCTAAGTTTAGAAATTCATGTTGCTAGTGCTCCAGAAGGACCTGATTAATGGATCCCCTCAGAGATGCAAAGATGTGACACTCCCCATGGCAGGTGCAAAACCCCAGTACCTGAAGTCTGTCAAAACCTCCAGTTTCCCTATGATAAACTTCTGTGAGTCACCTGCATAAAGCTAATACAAAAGTGTGATAAAGTACATGAGAGTGTTGGAAACACGTGAATTAATCACCTGTTAATCATTATTAATCATAATACAAAACATTGTATTATAAGCTTTTCTAGTTCCTCTATTAAAATTTTTTTCAGTACCCAAAGCTGCCAGGTATTTCCAGGCTTCTCTATCACAACACAAAAACTTTGATGGGGACATGTTCTGTTTGGTAGGGAACATCTCCAGGCCTTGGCAGAGCATCCAGCTGTCCACTGGCAGATCCACTCTGCTCCCAGCACACATGGAGCATGTTTAGGGAAAGGAAGGATACCCAAGAGCCTCCTGGACCTATCAGATTAACACAAGCAAGGAATCTGTAACACCCATAAGTAATTCTCATTACAATTACTTCAGCTGCTTTCAGTCTTCTGGTACTGAACCAGGCTCATTTAGGCAGCTTTTTTTTTCCTAACAATGTGGTTTAAGAGCATCAGGGAAATTTTCAAGTTTAAAAGCTGCAGAACAAAAGGCAAGCAAACTTTATGTTCTCTAATGAATGGTTATTGCTCCATTTATTTAAGTGGTACTTATCACCATAAATATCTACTAAACTCATTTACCCTACTGGTGTAACCAGTGCTTTCCCAGGAAATATCTTTTGGTAAGTGGATTGCAAAAATAAAGTAGGAAAATAAATGAACAACTAGAAACGCTCCTTAAGAAAAGTCTCCAAACAGAGGAAAGACTAAAGATCAATGAGCATTTAAGTATTTCACAGCTTAGGCCTATTCACTGCACAAGATCCAAAATAGTTTCCTTCATGAGTATTGCATAATACGTTCATTCAAAATCTAACAGGTTTTCTCCCAGAACACACCAAGACACGGTTCTCTCCCCCACTTTTTTGTCTTTTAAATATGAACACGAGAATCTCACAGCTGATAACATTATTCTGGAAACTACACAGAATATTCTGGAAAAGGCTCAAGCTGGGACTCCAGTGTTGCAATAGCAAATGTTTCCACGTATTCAGATTCTTCATGCATCACTCTTTGTGAAAGGTAAACAACGGAACAAGTAGCTTTTACAGGGCTCTGGGAGTGAACTCTGGCCTCCAAACCATAAATAAGGAGAAAGTACAAAATGTACATACCTTCAAAGCACATTTCTGGCCTGTCTCCTTGTTGAAACACTCCAGTACTTTGCCATTGATTCCTAACCCTAGCACACGTTTGGAGAGTTTGTAGTCGTCTGTAACTGCATGTTTTTTTATCTCTAGTTTGACATGGGCTGTTCCCCCAGGCAAGGATTTCACGCTGCTCTTACTCTCCACGTGACTCTCTGCCTGGGATTCCTGTTCACCTTCACTTTGTTCCATATCAGGGAAGAGTGGGATGACAGAGACACCCGACAGATTCCTGTGGGGTATCCTCAGCAGAGCCCCTTCACTCAAGCAATCAAACCCAGTGCTTCAAACGGTCCATTTTCTTGCCATTTAGTCCTGAGTAAAAATGTAAACAAGTGTTAGTAATTGATGTCAACTAACTGTTGTCCCACCTCACCGCTTTTCTCTTAGCAAGATGACCAGGTGCCAGGAAGAAGTGGAGTGTCACCTCAGGAAAGCACACACTTTGGCTTTACAGACCCCAGTTCCAATACACACAGCTCTCAATCTGCAGGTATAAATCACTGCTTTTACTGCAACAAAAAGTAACTGAGTAACTGCTGAGACTTGGAATAACACTACAGCTAAGCTCTGTACAACAGAGCAGTGCTTCGAGCTTATAAACCCGCATCAACTACTTGTTGCCTCAATGTTTTATGTAGAAATCCTCACAATGGTCCCCTGCCTCATCCCGACACTCCCAAATTACGCAAGAGAACCACGAATACCTGGACTGAACCCCAGAGCGGCACTGCTTGGGCAGGCACCGAACCCTGGGACTGTGCTTTAATTGCCTGGGTCCACAAGCGAGGAGCAGGGACCACCAAACCACCCAAAAACTGAAGTCCGTGGAGATGCCATGGCGCGGCTCCCAAAGGGACTGAGGGGGATCCCCGGGGCGGGTCCCGGTGCCAGCAGCCCCGTTCCCACGAGCAGAGGGGCCGCTCGCTCAGCCCCCCGCGCTGAGGCGGCGGCGGAGGGCGGGAAAGCCCTGAGGCGAAGCCGGGAGAGCGGGGGGTGGCGGCGGCGGGAGCCGGGCGGGGGCAGCTCCACGCCGGAGCTCGATTACCTGCCTGTGGCGGCGCGGCCCCAGCAGAGGCTTCCCGGAGCGGCTCGGGGAAGGCGGGCTCTGCCTGGGTCCGCCCCGCCGCCCCGGGCAGGTGCGCGCCGCCTTCCCGCCCCGAACCGCGCCGGGCTGCCGGCGGCGGGACCGGCCCGAGTCCCCCACAAGCGGCCGGGACTGGGCCGGGCCCGAGCGGGGAGCGGGAGCTCCCTCGTGGTCAGGTTCCACTGCTCGGGTTCCTCTGAACAACCCTGGCGGGGAACAACCCTCGCGGTGAATTTAAGGTGATTTAGGGTGGTGATTTTAATCACGATATGAATTTATTGGGGTAAACGGCCCTGATAGAGGAGGGAAATGAGGCTGTAGCGGCGGCGGCTCCGGGCTGGTACCGCAGCGCGCCCGCGCGGTGGCACCGCCGGCCCTTCCCCCGATGGCTCCTCTGGGGAGAATCGCCACGTTCGCTCCAAAGCCTGTGTTAAACAGGCTGTTGCAATGAGACCCGATAGCGGGCAGTGATCTTTAAGGCTTTTGGCTACCGAAAGGGTGCTCTCACTACATGCAGTCACTAAACGCGACCAAAGACGTGGTCAGTGATTCTCGGCACTTTCAGATGCACAGTCAGGATACTAAAAGTGATGGTTCCCACAGCAACTGTCGCTCATCGCTGGTGCACAGAGTGTGGTTCCAGGGATGTGAAATGCTGATCTTTTTTCCCTACATGTGAAGATGAGTCATGCATCGAAATGGAGCTGCATTCGTATCACTGGAAGGAGCTTAAAGTTCACATGCTTTACAAGTTAAAAATACATTTGTCATTTTACGTAACATAATGGCATCTGGAGTTCTAGCAGATAGGAAAATAATTAAAAGGGCTAATGAGACCTTTCTCCAAGGAATAAAAAGTAGTTCAACTTAGCAGGATGCAGATCTGCAGTACATCACCATGTGATGTGACGCTACAGCAATTCTGCCTCAGGTTTCCCTTCCAGGCTTTCAGCAGTTCAGCTGCTGGAGGGCCTGGTCCCCTGATTCAGTTCACCTATTCTGGGCTAGTCAAATCCCTGAGGAAATCAAATCTTTTCAGATTTAGCTGTCAGCCTTCTTAGTCTTTGCATCACCTCCCACTGCAGTAGTCTCAGAGAAATGTATATGTTAACTGTGAGCTCCCAGGTTCCAAACCTTCAACAACATGGTTCTGCGGTCACTGGCTTGCTCTGATTTTCCTTCCCATGGCTTCTGCCTGTCTTTGCTTTTCTGTTTGTCCTGGATAGTAACTTCCTTTTCTTTGCAACAGGTAACTATTAGTCCTTTTCTTCGCATTCAGTCACTGGGGGGCAGACCCTTCAGAAAACTTCTAAATCTCTCTGGTTTCTTCTGCATTTTTTATTTTGAAAACCATACTTGCTCTCACCCATCTGTAGCTCCCATTCCTGGCCCCACTTTGGATCTTTCCATGTAACTCTTGCCCAAAAGCCTCTGGCTGCCCAAAGCAGGCAGGAGTTACACTGACTAGCACATTGAAGCTGGTACAAGACGATTTATGGCTCTATTCTAGGAAATATTAAATGTTGCAAAAATTCCAAGCAGATGTCTACTTAAGGGGTTGCTACTTTTTATAGTGTGTCAGAAGTAAGGAATTTCATTAAGAAACTATGACTCTAACTATTACAAGAATGAGTTTCTAAAAAAATCAGCTGTGCATGGAAAGCGAGGAAAGATGAAGGAATGAGACAAGGATGTGTGAAATTACTTGGTTCTACATGTCTCAGTGATAAGCCATTTCCTGATGAGAAGAGTTAAACTGGGAGGATACAAACCACATTTTTCAAGTCATGGGGTATCTCACTGGATGAAAAACTTGTTTGGGTTCACTACCTGATGTTGCCTGGATATGCTCTTGGCAAAGTTCATAATTTTACCAGTAATGAGTTTAAACAGGACAAAACACCTTAAAAATCCAATGTGAATCATAGTTAATATGGCCTTACATCAACCCTCTGCTAATTTCAACCACTACAAATTCCTAAAAAGCCTTTCTAGCACCAGCCCAAGTATTAGGCAGCCTCACTCTGCACAAGGATGACCCCAAAATAAAAAGCAACTCCTGAAGCCTCTCTTTGTGCTCGTGGCAGGTGGAGCTCCATTAGCATTCTCTGGAGATGCTGATAGAGAGTAAACTGACAGGCCCACTGCAGTTCCTTGAGCCAGGGGACGTTTTTCATTCAAACAGATGTTTTTATTTATTTATTGATGTTTGCTTTTTGAAGTTAAAAAAAAATCCAAAAGCCTAAAACAGTACTATTACAGGCTAAGAGCCCACTACAGCAAAAGTTCTTTCATCTTCACAAAAATCCCTAACACTGTAAATTAAACATAATCCTATTTTTACCAGAAGTCCCCAACAGCAATAACACAAAACAATTTGAATTTCAAAAGAGAATTCATAGCTCAGTTATGCCTGCTTTGTCCCCCCCCCAAAAAAAAGAAAAAAAAAGGCTCATAGGAGAAAGTAGCAAATATTAAGGCACTGTTCTATAAAGAAGCTTTGGGGCAGCATCCCCTTTCCTCTAACCAGTGCCTTAACCTGAAGAAGCTTTTTATTTTAGCTAGCACAAAGTTTGGATATGTTCTCCCTGGTTTTATCATGTCTTGGATAGCACAGATACCTGCTTTACAAACAGACAGCACCACTCTGTTTAAACAGAGAAGGTTCATTCTGGCTGTTCCACTGGGTATTTTCACTGCCTCTTTGCCATGCTGCAGCAATTCAATAACTGGGATCAAAGCTATTTCAGACTTTCAAATGTCTCATTTCCTAATAAAAACAAAATTAAATAACTGAGTTTGCTGTCATCTGGAGAGCTAGGAAAGCTGATGTCATCAAATGTTCTCTGACTGATGGCATATCTTGAGGAGTGATGCCTGAATGGTACAGGGATTGTATATTTCCTTATATACAAAGTCATTTGCTTGGGGGGTCAGCCCTTCGACAGCAATGTCTCATGGAAATCTCACCAGTTATGATCAAGAAATTATCAGCTGAAAACTTGTGACTTGTTTTTCTGAAACTTTACTTTGTCTGAGTAACAGCTCTCTATTTTTTTCTGTTGGTATGAGAAATCCACGCTCACAGGATGCATTATATAGATGTCACCAAAGAGAAAATCCTCCGTACTGTCAGGTTGAAGTGAGGACATGGCTTTGTTTGGTTGGGCAGTTGCAACAACCTTATTAAATCCCCCAGGAAGTTCTTCAGAAACTGCATCTGTGATATTAAAAGAAAGAAAGGGCAGCTCTACAGAGTAATATTTTGATATGAAGGAGAACAAAAGCAGCTTCTTGTAGGATCTTTAGTTTAGTCTGTCATGTACACAGTGGTCTGAAACACAAACTATATGCATGTTTTTTCACCTGTCTTTGGCTCTGCTTTGGAGGTGTCTGTCTCAGACTTATCAAAAAGGCACGAAAAAAAAAGCCGAACTCAAAAAGCTCATCAGCAAACAGCCTGGCTCTTTTCTCTCCTGGCTGACACAAAACCAGATTTATAAAGTTCTTTCATAGGCAATGATCTTTACTGATGCTTTGTTGCTAGAAGAACTTCTCTTTTCTTCTCAACACTCCCTGTCCTTGTGTCAGTGGGATTATAGCATGGTTTCCAGGAGGAATTAAAATTCTGGCTATGAAGCAGCTTCTAGTTAAGGAAAGGGAAGTCTCAAGAACATCACTCTCACCATCTAGAGAGCCTGTCCTAGTACCTTTGTTCCTCAAGATGAATTCCTCCATGTTAGGACATAGCAGGTATTTTCCTATAGAAATACAGGTGAGCATAGAAAAGCTGCTTTTTTATGCATGGCCTCAGGCACCCTATTACAGGTACCTTGTCCTGGTCAATGAGAAAATTTTGGGAGGCTCCATCCATGTTCCTCCACAGCTTATTGATGGGGGAGTCAGAGAGATACCAGCTGAACATTTCCTTTTCAGCAGACAGGAAAAGAAAAAACTTTTTTTTTTTTAACAGAAGAATCATAAATCAAAATCATAAAAACCTTTCTAATCTGTCTAGAGGAGACGGTGCTTCATTTTATGCTGCAGTAGAGCAGAAGAAATTAATCTCTTTCATTGAAACATCCTGCAACTAATGGGTATGACAGCATTGCCTGGTAGTTGTGGGGTGGCCTTGCAGACCACTCAGGAATACAATTTTTTCAGCATTTTCAGCATTCAAATCAAGCAGCTGGAATCAAAACTCCTAACAGATGCCACACTGCCTAGGTCACCATGCTAGGTCACCATGTGCCACAAGCCTTGGGACAACAAATATGCTGAGCTCCTTATAATAACCCAGGTTATTTTTTCACAGGTTGAAATGAAACCCATTCCTTTCTGCACATCCCACTTCTCATGGAGCCAGCTCAGATGTCCCTGTATCCATGGCACATCCCACACCCTGGAGACTCCTCCATTGTTACTCACAAGGTTGGGAAATCAAAACCACAACATTAAATGAACCACCTGTTGTTGATTACAGGAATTGGTATGTCCTACTCGAATAATGAGCTGGCCCCTCTAAAGAAAGAACAGCTGCTTGTTATTGATAATGCTGGGTCACTCAGAGCGTTCCTCAGGGTAAGGGCCAGGCAGCAACCAAAGGGGTGACTTATTTTCAGTCTTTCAAGCTACTGGTTAAGGTAAAATCCAGTCCCCGGGCACACAGACCCCTCTCAAGAGTTTCGATTCTGGATGACATTTTTCATTTATACCAACTCTACAAGATCACAGGAATGTCCAAATGCCCAGCAGAAGCTGTGTAACACCCACAGTGGGGACTCTGGCCACCGGTTTTCCCAAGCACACATTTAGCAGCAGATGGTGCTCTTGTGTCAGTGAACTTTCGTGAGGGACTAACTGCCTCACTCCT